CCCTGCCCTCTGGGTCGCTATGAATTGGCATCAACTTGTCGGCAGTGAGTGAGAGCGAGCGAGCGGGCCTTTCTAAGGACAGAGTTGATCCCAAGCGTGTTCCCCTGGCTTGTCTTGCAGCGAGCAGAGAGCACTGATCCGGTTCAAGACCACGCTTATGAACACGCTCATGGATGTCCTCCGCCACAGGCCAGGATGGGTGGAAGTGAAGGAGTAAGACCTGCACTGCCAGCCCCATGCCTCCTTCCCTCGGTCCTGCTTCCCACTGCTTTTCTCCCAGCTCCCCTGTGGTGGCCTCTGGGTCTGTCCTAACATACACAGGACAGGAGTCACCGCCGACAGTCTGTCATGTGGATTACAGATACCATCTTATTTAAGTCTTACAGCCATCCAGAAGTGTGGGCTTGCACTCAGATTTGTTAAGCCAGTTGCCTAAAATCACACAGCATGTAAGCGTTGAGCATGGGATTCAAACCCAGTTGAGTCTGATGATTCCACACCCAAGTCCTATGGCTTCTGGGTCCCTTGACTTGAATCTTTCAAGGACCAAGTTGAGGACTTTTCTCCCCTGGCTAATTACTAGCTCGGTGGCAGCAAACAAGTTACTTGGCCTCTAAGTCTATGGTAGGCCCTGAGAAGAAAAAGATGACCAGCCCCTGGTGCCTGCTACATAGGAGGTGCTAATATTAGGGTTAACGTTTGGATTCAAGTCACCAAGACCCAAAGCAAACACAGCTTCAACAGACTAGCAGTTTTTGTCCCTCACGTTCAAGTCTAGATGTTGGCAGTTCAGAGGTGGTCTGGGTGTTCCACAGAGATATGGAACCCACTCCATCTTTCCACTCTGCTGCCCATAGACAGGCCCTGGTCTCATGCCAGAAGGGACCTCCAACCTAACCGTCATGTTCCTAGAAGCAAAAGGTGGGAGAGAGCCCCCCCCCCCAAAAAAAAAGCCAATGCCCTTCCTTAGAAAGGCACAACCTGAAAGTTCCTCCCATTTCATTGGCCAGAATTGAGCCATGTGACCACCCCCAACAGCCAGGGGATCTGGAGAATGTGGTTGTTCTGGGCAATGTAGGCGCTGTAGAAAAGGAGAGTGGGTATGAGGGACAACCAGCCTCTCGGCCGTGGTGCTCAGAAATCTTGGCTGCATATCATTTGCATGAGACATGCATTGAGCACTTTAGAAGCGTGAACTAATTTAATCATCCCAAAACAGCTTGTGAGTCGGAGCTGTTATCACCCCCATGTCACTGATGAGAAACGGAGGCCAGAGAAGCAAAACTTGCCGTGGGCTTACGTGTCGACAAAGCACCTAGTGGACGAAGCAACAAATGAGCAAGTGGACCCTTTCATCACCCCCCCCCACCTCCAAAAGAAACCCCACGCTGTATGCAGTCACTCCCCCTTCCCGTCCTCTCTTCCCTAACCCTTGGTGGCCACTCATCTGTTTTCCATCTGTTATCTGCCACTGAATAACTGAATTCCCACAAGGGATGACCTCAACAGACAGACACATCTTCTCTCACAGTTTAAGAGGCTGAAGTCCACGTTCAAGGCACCAGTGCCAGGGGGAGGCTCTCTCTGTTGGCTGGGGGGAAGGCCCTTGTGTTCTTTCAACACTCTAGAGCCAACGTCCCCTGTGTCTTGGCATGCAACTTTCCTTGGGTCTAGGAGGTTCTCAGTTCCAGGACCCTCGGCCTATGGGACACACCGACGCACTTCCCTCCCGGCTCGTCTTTCTTGGTGGTGATCAGGACTTTCCCTCTCTGCGCCATCTTCTGTCCTTGTAGATGGACAGTGAGATGGGAAGTGATGCAGGCCACAGCCCAGGGGAACTCCCCGTACCGCAGACCAGGCCTGTGACCTGAGGAAGGGAATTACATCCCACCCAACCCCCCTTGCAGCTGGTTGGCTGATCACATCACGGGGGTGGGTGGGTGGGGGGTGATTACATCATTACCTAACTGCCAAGCCACTGAGAATCGTGAGCCAGACAAGTTGATACTGTATATACTTGGAGAGAACAAAATTCAGGACATGACACCATCTCTGTAGATTTGTCCATCCTGGACATTTCACATAAGTAGAATCAGTACATGGTCCTTGTGGTTCCTCTTACTGATATTCATGCTTTCAAGCTTCATCCTGAACAGACATACCCATTTTATTCATCCGTTCATCAGTTGAGAGACCTGGGGGTCGTTTTCCCTTTTGACTGTGATGAACATGCTGGTGTTACTAGGCAGGCACATGTGTCAAGCACATTTGTACATATGTTGCCTTCATCATTTTCAAAACATTGTCTTTCTACCTGAGCCCTTTCTACTTGAGTTCCTCATTTTTTCCTCCCTCCCCGCCCCTCCCTACCTCATGAACCCTTAATAATATATACTTTTTTTTTCATGTGGTCTCCCTTCACCCACTTTTCCCTTGTTCATTCCCCTGCGGGGGGGGCGGGTTATATGTAGATCATTGTGATTGGTTCCCCCTTTCTCCCCACATCTTCCCTCTACCCTCGTGGTATCGCTACTCTCATTATTGGTCCCAAGGGGTTTATCTGTCCTGGAGTCCCTGTGCTGGGAGCTCTTTTGAAGCACAGAGGTTTTAATTTGGTTCAAGTTCAGTTTATCCATTTGTAATCTTGTTGCTTGTGCTTTAGGGGTCACATCTAACTAACCCCCCACCAGTGTCATCCAAGGTCCTGAAGATGTACTCACATGCTTCCTCTGAAGAGTTTTATCATTTTAGTTCTTGTATTAGATCTCTGATCCATTTTAAGCCGAATGTTTCATATGGTACGAGACAGGAGTCTGACAACATACTTATTTTTAAATGATTGCTTTGAAATTATTTTAAGTTTATCCAAAAAGTTGCAGAAATAGTACACAACTTCCTCTGATGGTAAAGTCGGGACATGAACATCGACGTTACTGTTAACTAAACTATAGACCTTAATTGAATGTCACAGGTTTCCCCCTGTCCCCTGCCACCACTCATGCCCATTTTCCATTTCAGAACCTAACCTAGGGTCCCACAATGCATGTAGTGGGCATGTGGCTTTAAAAGCTCACTGCCCTCAAGTTGCCCAGGACTCACAGTGACCCTATCGACAGAGTAGACTGCCTCTTTGGGTTTCTGAGCCTTGAAACATTTATGGGAGCCGACAGCCTCGTCTTTCTCCCACGAAGCCACAGGTGGCTCAAACTGCTGACCGGACGTCTGCAGCCCAACGTGTGGCCCGCTCTGCCATCAGGGCTCCTTGTGGCTTCAGTCATCTCAGCCCTGTGACAGTCCCTGCTCTTTACCTTGGAAGACTTCCTACCAGTCTTCATTTATCTTGTAGAAGGCCTTAGAACTTGGGTTTCTCTCCTGTTTTCTCATCATGGTCTCGTGTGTTTTGGCAAGACCGCCACGGGAGTGAGGCGGTCTTTCCCCCTGCATCTTATCAACAGGTTCCCGATGCTGAGGTCACTTATCGCTACGTGGAGGTGGCTGGTGGCTGCCAGAGTCTCCCCTGGAACGCTCTTGTTTTGTTCTTTAGAATGAAGACGTGTCTTGTGCGCAGACATTTTGAGACTACGCAAATAACCTGGATCCGATAAACTTCCACACAATGGTTCTAGCTTTCCTTGAAGATCTCTCCCTAAATCTGCCACGAATCTGATCATTTTAAAATGGTGGTTCCCCTTTTGCATGGTCATTCTTACCTCTCTCACCGCTTCTACATTTTGTGGTTGACACTCTTTGGTCAAAGAAAGTCTTACCTTCAGTTTGTTGATTGAAGTTCACCAACTTGCTCACAAGATTTCACACCTTCATTTTATGCCTTCATTTCCTAATGAGGAACCTGAATCTAGAGGGGAGGGCAAAGTCACACAGGAGTCAATGGATGGTCACATAGGCTCCTGTCTCCTAACCAGTGCCCCTTGCAGGGCTGCTTGCGGTGTTGGGGGT